TTTTCGATTCCTGGCCACACAAACGAGTTATTGGAGGTGATAGATTCAGGTGACTCACCCTGTATGTACTTCACTTTCACGGAATTTTATTTCGATGTTGGCATTTATATAAATGACGGAAATCAATTAAAATAAATTTAAATAGATTCTTGTCTCTATATGTAAGTTTCATACTTTCCATGCAACATACAAATTATCAGAGAAAATAAGAATTGATAAACGATATATTAAAAATATTACTGGAGATAATATAAATGTTATAAGCTATTTGAGACACATTTATGAGAATGAAAGTTAACGATAGTAAAAAAATGTAAAAAACTTGTGGCAAAATTGGCTAATATGTGTCTGAATGATAATCTCGGAACTTAAAATTAACTAGAGAAACTAATGATGGAAATACACAAAAATTCAGAAGTATGGAAATCGTTTATATGTACGTTTTAGATTTCGATGGAGATGACTTAGTGGCACAAGCGGCTATTTTCTTCTCTGGAGGTTTCGAGACTAGTTCATCGACAATATCTTTCACATTATATGAACTTGCAGTACAACCGAAAATTCAAGATAGACTTAGGAAAGAAATTCTCGATGCATTCAAGGAGAACAATGGAAAAATCACATACGATATGGTATATATGACTAATATATATTAAGGCTAATACGAAATAATATTATTAGTAAAACGCTAACGTTTTCGACATTAATATCGCGAATTAACGTTTACGATAATTATTTCTTTATCTCATTTCAAAATGTAATGTTTAATAATGAAATAATTATAAAGTCGACGATTATTCATTATCAGGTTTTGTCACCGTATCTTCATATGGTGATTTCCGAAACTTTGAGGAAATATCCAATATTACCCATGCTTGATCGCGAAACGGTACAGAATTACAAAGTGCCAAATACCGACCTGGTTATTGAAAAGGATACGCCGGTTTTTATCTCGTTGATTGACCTGCACTATAATCCGGAATATTTCCCTGATCCCGACAAATTCGATCCGGAACGATTTAGCGAAGAGAATTTTCCCAAAATACCGCCGTGCGTATACATGCCATTTGGAGAAGATCCTCGCAAATGTATAGGTAAGATATTATCTTTCTTTTCGATATTAAGGGGATTTATTAGTCTTGAGAGCTGGACTTAAAGACATTCGGGAATTTTTTATGAATAAAACTTCAGATATAAATCGAAAGTTTAGGAAAACAGAGAGGGAGACATTAAATAATGAATCCACGACACAAGAATAATTAGAGAGAGAATATAAACGAATATATATATATATATATATATATATATATATATATATA